GGCATCTAAAAATCAAGTTTACACATTAGACGTCATTTATGATTGTCCCTTTTAAAGCATGAATAATTAGAAAAATCTACAAAGTAGGACAATTTTTTAATCGTCCGAACTTCAACAAAACAAGGATGAAGAGAACAAAAAAAGTAAATTATATCGTAATTTAGGAGGAACAAATAAGCTCATGTATTTACTTCTCTGAAGGACATCTCTTAAAAATGACGTAATTAATCATGCTCTCGAGTGGCATTACGGGTTACTTAGTAAAATCGTGGACACTTTTTTTGTGTCCATTAAAGATACTTTGTTTATTCAAATGATTACTTTTATGTTTACGAAAAGCTATCAACAAATTTAGGGGATTGATGAAAAGGATGAATGCGGATAGAGATGGGTTGCATTACTTTTATGAGGATTAAATTCACACAAATTACGTTAATTGAATTAAAAGGAGACTGAAAGGATGAAAAATTATTTAGGGCAGCATTTATTGTATAATGAGGGATATGAATGGGACTTTGGAGTTGACAATTTCTGCATTTAGAACGAGTCTTGAGAATTTAGATCAAACTTATTTAATTTTCCATCTATTCCAGGAAATAATCAATAAGAAAATAACATCCATTGAAATTTCCAACAATTCTAAGAAAAAAGAAAACTTTAAGGATATAAATTACTCAGATTTCTAAGAATACCTGGCAACCACATCCATTAAACCAACAAAAGTTAATAAAAATTCATATTTCATGGGAGATGGGGATGAGTATAATGTTCCTTAAAATATTATATCAACAACATTGCAGCAACCCTAAGCAACAAACAAACAAAGCTGTAAAATTGGACTAGAAAAAAAATTTCCTTTTGCTCTTTCCATGGAACTTGATTGTTGAGGAAATGGAAAATCAATTTGGGTCAATTTTAAAACTTTCTTTGCTACAGAGTTCCACTAAATTATGTCACTGGGTAAAACCTTGATTCATTGACTAATTATGCGTTCTAATCATGGGGAAATCATAACAACATCCAAACATTTTCGATTCTCATCCAAACAAGTAAACAAAATTAGAGTAAGACGAGAATTTTTCATTGGAGGATAATAAAAATCAACAGAAGCAAAACAATTTCTTATTCTCCATTTTTTTCATCCCCGGCTAGAGGATTTGTTTAATCTTTTATAAGGAACATACACACATACTTCAAAAAAAAAATTATATATTTCTCCTTCCTATCATCCTCAATGGCAACGGCAAGAAATTTTCCAATTTATTTCAATATCATAAAACAGTGAAGCAATAGAAGCATTATCAATATACGTACACACATAAATACACTGAGATATTCAATCAAATTGAAAAAATATATATATATATGTGCTCACAAGCATGGAAGCAAAAGAGATGAAATTGAATATCCAGGAAGAGCAAGAAAGGAAGAAAATTGTGATCATAAAGTTTTACAGCTGATTGAAAGCCATTCTGAATATATATCTGATGCAAAACAATTTACTTACTTCCATTTGTCCAGAACTGGAGGACATGAATGAATAAATTTAGGAAATACCATCAATGTAGAAGACTGGATGACTAGATGTTTTTCGTTTTGCGGATCAAGGACTAAACGCTGTTCTTAAATTCATGCCTTATTGACTGTCAATTCTAGAACTGGAATTTCTCATGTGTCATTTTCTGGACATCACAGAAACTCATTGGACTACCCTAACCATAAGTCATAAACTCTAGTTCTAGCTATCCTTCAAAATAAATATGTCATGCAAAACATTCAACTTTCATGTGCTTGACAAGCCTTAGCTTTATGATGCTTCAGACAACAAATGCATAAAACTGGAGTAAAACTTTATTATTTGTTGACTCTCAGAGTTATTGGATGCAGAAAAAAATTGCTGGGTTAAAAAAATTTTATTTGGAGTTCTATTTTTCACTCGAACTTTTATGATCTTGTTAAAGGATATGCTTTTCAGCCATCGATTCAATGGTTTGGAACAAATTTTTGAAGGATTATGCATAAAATTTTGAGTGCACTTTAGAAATTTATGCAGCTATTCATTGCTGGTTCATCCTTTGTTAGGGAACTGAAAGCTTTTTTATTTGAATTGAGCGAATCCAGCTTGGATTCAAGGATCCTTTTAATATAATGCATTGATGGCAATTAACGCAAAACATTGGTAAACCGACAAACTTCATCGTTTTAAAAAGCACTTCATTAATTATATTTTTCATCATAAGATTATCTATGATTTAATAAGTTTCTTCCTTCATAAAACAGTAAATTGAATAGATAAAGTGCATCATATAGATGAAATTACATGCAATTAATGCTAATGAATTAGTTTAATGCAAATTTTGTTATAGAAGATAAGGGGCTGTTCACTGATGACGTCCATCAAAAAACATGTTTAGACCCCCCTCCCCCCCCCTCTGTCACAAAATTTCTGAGAAAAAAAAATTCTTTATTTAAGAGGACCCCCCCCCCCCCCCCTAAATATTGGACGTCATAAGTGAACGGCCCCTCATCAGAAAATCAGGTTTTTCAACAGGAAATAAACGGAATTAATATAATGAATTTTAAATTATTTTCAGATGAATCTTGTGCTTTAAGATTTGATCTTCAAATTGGCTAAATGCTTGCCATTATGATGTTGTAAACATTCTAATATTAAGTTGTTTTGGGAAAAATAATTTAAAATGGATTTTCCATAAGAGAAAAAAAATCAAAGTCATTGAAAGATCCAAAAAACCAATTTGACTTCAATTTGCTTATTGTCTTAGCGCCAAAATATATTTTTTTGCTTTGTCATTTTCCCACAAAGAATACTGAATGAAGCGACAAAATTTAAATATTTGTAAACTATTGGAAATTCCTTAAAAAATTACAGAAGTCCTCGTGTTATTGATCGAGGGACTTAAGCGCATTTTTGTGTTAGCGATCAGTATTTGATTATGTAATTATTTTGCGTTCATTTACAGATCATGAGAAGATTAGAAGATCATTAATTTTAGTGTAATTAACAAAAAGTTACAATGAATGCTTATATAGAAAGGATTATTATTTAACGGTCAATAAATAATTTGAAATTTTGCCGTTAAAAGTTGCACTACGAAAATATTAATTATAGTATAATTAAACAATTTGTTGCAATAAATTTCCATACAGAAAGGGTTTATCATTTAACGGTTTTTTTGTAATTCAAATTTTCTAAAGGTCAATAAATAATTTGAAATTTTCCCGCTATAAGTTGCACTACGAAAAAATTAATTATAGTATAATTAAATAATTTGTTGCAATGAATTTCCATACAGAAAGGATTTATCATTTAACGGTTTTTTTTAATTCAAATTTTCTAACGGTCAGTAAATAATTTGAAATTTTCCCGCTATAAGTTGCACTACGAAAAAATTAATTATAGTATAATTAAATAATTTGTTGCAATGAATTTCCATACAGAAAGGATTTATCATTTAACGATTTTTTGTAATTCAAATTTTCTAACGGTCAGTAAATAATTTGAAATTTTCCCGCTATAAGTTGCACTACGAAAAAATTAATTATAGTATAATTAAATAATTTGTTGCAATGAATTTCCATACAGAAAGGATTTATCATTTAACGATTTTTTGTAATTCAAATTTTCTAACGGTCAGTAAATAATTTGAAATTTTGCCGTTAAAAGTTGCACTACGAAAAAATTAATTATAGTATAATTAAACAATTTGTTGCAATGAATTTCCATACAGAAAGGGTTTATCATTTAACGGTTTTTTGTAATTCAAATTTTCTAACGGTCAATAAATAATTTGAAATTTTCCCGCTATAAGTTGCACTACGAAAAAATTAATTATAGTATAATTAAATAATTTGTTGCAATGAATTTCCATACAGAAAGGATTTATCATTTAACGATTTTTTGTAATTCAAATTTTCTAACGGTCAGTAAATAATTTGAAATTTTGCCGTTAAAAGTTGCACTACGAAAAAATTAATTATAGTATAATTAAACAATTTGTTGCAATGAATTTCCATACAGAAAGAGTTTATCATTTAACGGTTTCTTGTAATTCAAATTTTCTAACGGTCAATATAATAATAATTTGAAATTTTCCCGCTATAAGTTGCACTACGAAAAAATTAATTATAGTATAATTAAATAATTTGTTGCAATGAATTTTCATACAGAAAGGGTTTATCATTTAACATTTTTTTGTAATTCAAATTTTCTAACGGTCAATAAATAGTTTGAAATTTTCCCGCTATAAGTTGCACTACGAAATAATAATTATAGTATAATTAAATAATTTGTTCCAATGAATTTCCATACAAAAAAAGTTTATCATTTAACGGTTTTTTGAAATTCAAATTTTACAACGGCTAGAAATTTTTTGAAATTATAGAGGTAATATTGAAATTATAGAGGTAAAATAAAATTTGAGCAGTTTACACTGAAAACAAAACAAAAATTCATTAATTATAGCATAAATACACTGTTTTAAGATTTTTAAATGTCCGGCGGGCCAATAACTCGATATAACGGAACTAATGCAAAAAACTAGAACTCTCTACGATGTCTAGATTAAAAGTTTTTCTTAGCAGCCGACCAGCCAGCCGACCAGCCGACCAGCCGACCAAAGTGCGTTATTAAGCTACCTTTTTGAAACAAGTTTCAAAAATGCGCTAAAAAAAACGAAATTCCAAAATAAAAACATTAGAGTTCATTGAATTCATTCATTCATTCATTATTAATCGCTCAAAAATTTACACATGCTGTACGAAAACCGGTTATGAAGAACAAGAAACACAATAATAACAAAATTTAACAATAAAGATTTTGGTATGAATTGAAATGTTTACAATCTTTTATTCTGCATATACATTTTCGGATCATTTACATCTTAATAAGTTACTGTCAAATAAATTATAAATAAACTGGTCATTTACTAAATTCACATCATTGAATTCAAATCAGATGTGTCTTTTGACTCTTGAATATTTTATTCAGCTTTTTTGTTGATGGGATAAGGAAGCCATTCATTGGTTTTTTCGTAGTTTTCGATAACTTCCGAGTACTTCATAGTCCCATGCAAAACATCAGCAAGTCCATACATTGAGTAGTTAGCATTAAATCTGTAAATCAACAAGAATTAATAATCTATTGAGACACTTCTGCTAGATTACTTACTTCAAGTGATGATAGTCATGGAATTGTCCAGCAATGAAGAATGGTAAATGATATCCCATATGTCCAATTATGACTGTGACATTTACAGTCGACAGCCATAAAAGTGCAGTTCCTATATGCATCCTTAATATGTAGATGCCAATACTTGCTGGTAAATATGCAGCAAAAATATGATCTGCCAAGCCTGCATACTGTGCTGCTAAAATTGTCGGTGTTTTAAACTCATGATGCTTCTTATGATATTTATAGAGCCACTTTGTGTGGAATAATCGATGAGCATAATAAAAAGCAAATTCATGGATGAACATGTTGAGGATTAAATCTCGCATAACTTCAAGGAAACTTGGTAACACAGGATCACGTCTTGCTCTAGCAAAGTCGTTATCAAAATAAAATTGCACTAACATAACGACTAGTATAGCTAGATAGTTTTCCAGAACGTTTATAATCGCCTAAAAAAGAATGGATTTTTGGAAGAATACAAAATATTTGCTAATGTGCCTGACTTACCTTTCTGGTGTTTTCTGGAGTTTCAATTTCACTGTCTTTTGTTTGAAGCTTCATGCTTTTGATTTTATCTCGTTCCATGACTTTCACAATTATGTAGAAAACTAATATTGCCAGATGATAGAAAATAAAAGGATATAGGAATAAGACTCCAATATTGTAGTATGCCAAGTTATCGCCCAACTTTTCTCTGACTTTGTTCCATATTATTTGAAGGGTGCTGTCTACTCCAATAATAAAATCAAAGCATTTTAAAAATCCATACAGAACTGGTACGGTATAAATGAATGGATTTATAGCAGTTGCAAATCGCTTGATTTTGCTCATATTTTTGTTCTAATGAAATCTTCTGCTGGTCACTTCGAGGGCTGACAATTAACTGATCTTGGAATATAAACACAGTTCTGAGCTAAAGCAATTTTGAAATTCCCCCAAAAAAATTTTACTTTTGGAAATACCCGCGACTGGCAATAAGAAACAACTTTGTAAAAAAAATTACACACATAAAATTATTGGCAAGATGTAAAGTCATTGTTTTTTCATCTTCATAGAGTCTGTGAATGAATATTGTCACACAAAATCTGCTACATCATCTTCTCTCGTACATCCAAATATATCAACATATTCTATTGCTGCAACATGATAATTTTATATCCTAATTTTCATAATTTAACCGACAAAGTATCTAATTTGGTTATAAAATTATGAAAAATTTGAAATTCAACGCGGATTATTAACCATAAAGTTAAAATGTCTGGTTAATGCGGTATTTAAAGCTGTTGCATCTTTCATTTATCATAAACTGTATTCTTTTGCATAAATATTTGCTAAGAGCTATATTAACTTTAGATTCAATAGTATCTAGATGCTAGAACTGTGGAATAGCCAAGATAGTCTAGAAGCTCCTTGATTCACAACTTTTTGGATAATAACAAAAAATCAAGTATTTTTCAAAATTTTATTAAATCCATATTTATTCATACAAAACATAAAAATCTCATTATCCTTGCTTATTATCTTTTATTCTTGCATATGGAACCCAATTGCTGCTTTTCTCATAATCTTCAACATTTTTCGAGTTCTGCCAAGTGCCATGCAAAATATCAGCAATACAATATACAGAAAAGTTGACATTGGATCTGTAAAAATTTATAAAATTGAACTGTAACTTGATCCTCTATTTAATTCAACTCACTTTAAGTGATGATTATCATGCATTTGTGGTGTGTGGAGGAATGGTAAGTGGTATCCCATGTGGCCAAATGTAAGTGTAACTGATACAACTGACAGCCATAACAATGCAGTAGCTATATGCATTCTTAACATTCCAATTCCAATTGTTATAGGTATGAAACCAGAAACAACAAACTCAAAGACACTTGAGTACTGCGAAATTAAAAATGTTGGAGTTTTAAATTCATGATGCTGCTTATGGAACCGCCAAAACCATTTTGTGTGCAATAATCGATGGCTATAATAAAATCCAAATTCGTGGATGAACATACAGCATATTAAATGTCGCATCACTTCAAATAAACTTGGAAGTTCAGGATCACGTCTTGCTCTAGCAAAATCATTGTCATAGATGTAAGCAGCTCCCAAAATTCCCAATGTCACCAATTGATTACGCAGAACATTCAACATTACCTGAAAATAAAATAATAATTTTTTGAAAAAAGGTTTCATTAAGTTTGACTTACCTTTTTGGTATTTTCTGGTGTTTCAATTTCACTGTCTTTTGCTTGAAGCTTCAAATTTTTAACAACATTTTGCCTTTTGTACTTCACAACTAGATAGAAAATTAATGTTTGTAGATAATAGAAACCAAAATTATAAAAGAACAAAAGTCCAACATTGTAGTATGCCTTGTTATCTCCCAAAGTTTCTCTGACTTTATTCCATCCTATTTGAAGAATGCTGTCCACACCAATCAAAGAATCTAATGATTTAACGATGCCATATGAAATTGGTACACAATAAATGAATGGATTTATGAATGGAACAATTTGCTTGATTTTGTTCATTTGAATATTTTTGAAATTGCAGCTGTACACTTTGAATCTTGTCAATAGACTGAGCAGTGTTAGCAATAACGAATTCCCCAAAATAAATATTTTTTTTTGGGAATTTCCCCTAACTGGATGTAAAAATTGGCTTGTAAAACTCACAGAATTTTGTGTGGATCTCAAGCATTTGTGAATTTATATTGTCACACTGCTTGCTCATCTTCTCAAGCATAAATCATTTTAAAGTATTCGGAAAGGATTGCAATCCATTATAATGATCCCTTTCTAGGGTGACCATCTGCGTAGTTTTACAACGGACAGTCCTGTATTTCAAAACCCTGTCCTGTAAAAATTTGAAAACTTTGTTCCAGGTCCTGTATTTTTTTCACGAAAATTTCCGTTAATTTTCGAATTTTACTCTATGTCCTGTATTTTTCGAAAAAATTTACCAAAAGTCCTGTATTTTCATGAAAATTAGATGGTAACCCTATCCCTTTCTCGATGTAATTGCTTTTCTTACAAAAATTATGCATGCATCTGAGACATTAATAAAAATCCACATACACATTTTCCATTATTCTCACATTATACAATAGTAAAGTAAGGCAATGGTTATTAAAGTTGAATGGTAAGTGCAGAAATAAATCTATAAAAATTGCATAAAACTTTTTGCATCTCATTTTAGATATTTGCATTAATTTCACACAAACCCTTGCAAGATTTTTTTTCTGAAAATTTCATGCATATTTGTGGCAGTTTTGAGATGAAGCCATACATTATTTGCAGCTGAGGTCAGGAAAGAGTTGGTTTAAACATTTCTCTTGATGCCTACGCATCAAAGTGATAAGGATAAAATCTCTACCAAAAATTCTCAAAAATGTAGTAACAACCTGATAAAATGATTCTCCTGGAACTGCTTTCTGCATTAATATGAGAACAGAAAAAAAATTGCATTATGGAAGAAGAAAAATTTCTTTTTCTCTTTTTAATGCATACATTTATCTCGCATACATTTTTTCATACAGACATTATATGTTGCTAATGTTTAAAGTATCTCTAAGGAATTCTGACAAGATAAATTGAGCGTTATTATTTGTACTTTGACTGACTCAAACAAAAGAGATTGCATGGCTGAAAGTGTTATGAATTTGTATTAATATTTGAAAGCATAGTTGTCAGATAGGTAGGGTGACCATCTGCGTAGTTTTACAACGGACAGTTCAGTATTTCAAAACCCTGTCCTGTATAAATTTGAAAATTTTGTTCCTGGTCCTGTATTTTTTTCACGAAAATTTCCGTTAATTTTCAAATTTTCTTTTGTGCCCTGTACTTTTTAAGGAAATTTATCAAATGCCCTGTATTTTCGTAAAAATTAGATGGTCACCCTACAGATAGGTACCTATGGAAATGGTAGCTTTTGACAACACTTATGTACAGGCATGCCTAGCCAAAGGCAAAAATGTGTGTCTAGTCAATTACTAGCCAAAGGCATTACCTAGCATTTGGCAACATTTTTTGCCTATGCCTAGGCACTGCTTATCTTAGACATGCCTTTACCTAAGCAGAGAAATTTACAAAACAAAAAAAAGCATCAACATAAATCTAATCTAGGTTTTGCCTAGTCAAAGGTATGACTAGGATAGGCGCTGCATAGGTAAAGACAAAAAGTATTGCCTATTTTTAGAGATTGCTTTGGCTAGATATTGCCTTTGGCTAGACATCCCGAAAAGCACAAGCCAGTTAATCGAAAAGAAATCCTTCACCAAGCATACGTAGCTCTGGCATGGAGCTGAATTTGATTTGAGTCCAGCAACATGCCAGAGTCACGCTGGTTTGATGCAAGATTTCTATTCGATTAACCGACTTGTGCTTTTCGGGCATGCCTTGACAAAGGTAAATTTTGATGCCTTTCTAAAGGCAATGCCTGGGATAGATTGATAGGAACTTTATAGGTGACAACTCTGTTTGAAAGTCATAAGTGCATCTTTTAAAAAGCTTTTATCTGCTTTTATGTTTGGATATCAAATTTTAAATTAAGCTTTATTTAGTCTCTTGCTCGTAGATTGATTTTTAAAAGTATTGGATGCTTGAAATGCATCAACTGATTGATAGAAATTCCAGAGTTTCGCAATAAAAGATCTTTTTGCATTTGAAAGGTTAGAAAATCTTAGCTCAGATTCATCGAGGTGCAACCAATCTCGTGATGTAACAAAACACTTACCTTAATTCAATAAAGAAATGCGCCGAAAAGCAGCAATGAGATGTGAAATGATCATCCATGTATACATAACTGCATGCGAGGAAGAAAAATTGAAGAACAGCAAAAAAAAGCAACAAAAGAACCAAGAAAACGAAACTTTTAATCGAAAAATGAAAATAGATTGGAAGAAGAACTGCTTCCATTAAACTTTTATGCTGCAAAATCTCGCAAAAAAGTTATATTTGTTCAGATTCAAACGGACTTTTAAGCATTCCTGAAATAAAAGAAGGCTAAAAGTGAATGAACTTGCCGAAAAAAAAACTTATTTTCAATTTTTTTACTGAATATTTTTTTTATTTCTTTTTTTACTCATTTTTTTGATATTATGTATTGCATCATTTTTATTACATTGCATTTATTTATACATAAGAGAGAGCAAATGGATTTTATTTTGATGGAAAACTTTCTTTTCTCATCACCTATTCATAATAAATATGTGTGTATCTGTCTGTTTCTTCTGTATATGTATATTTATTTCTATTCATATATTCTTGTAAGTACATTCATTCATAACTATAAATATACAATTCTCCTTTTTTCATTCCTTTATATTTAGCTATTTATAAATATTTCTTCATTTTTTTTATACAACGAAATTTCAACTTTTTTCTAATATTTTTTTTTACATTTTTTCCGAGACTTTTCTCTCGATTTTATTCCTCACTTTATGCTATGTTATTTATTTTTATTTATTTATGCATCAATTTCAAATCTAAAACGAAATGAATTTTTTTCTTCATCTGCTTCTGTTGCTCGCTAATATCATTTTATATCTAATCTTTATTTATTTGCAATTTTTTTTCTTCTATTATATAAGTTTGTTCAATAGTCTTTCTATAAATCTGTTCTAGGAAACTGAAACTGATTTAACAGAAGATTGGAACAGAAAATTAGTTTATTATGGAATTAAGTGAGTAAAGTTCGTGCTATAATAATGGAATTGGACTTGCTTTCTGGCTCTAAGTTGATCTCTATTAAGTTGAAACATTGCTTAATCTTTTTGATCATTTATCTTATGTTTCTCTTCCCACTTTTCAATTCAATAGGTTTGACTACTGATTTTTCTCAAGGCTTAAGAACTGACTTTTCAAGTTTTGATATTTCGATCGTTTCCTTATCCTTAATTGGTACCTTCAAGAAAAGTTAAGATTTTGAGCAGGTCCTCAAATTTTTCAGAATCAAATTCAAGCTCCAGTTAGGACTCTCCTGAAAAACCTCAATCCTGATAGGGCTGTTCACTTATTACGTAACGCGAAAAAATGACTTCTTAGACCCCCCCCCCCCCCCCCTCGTAACAAAATTTGTATGAAAAAAAAATTTCCTTGTTTGAACCGTAACAAAATCTTAGACCCCCCCCCCCTAAAAGCGTTACGTAATAAGTGAATGGCCCCATACGAACAATTCATGAATTTTGACCGTTATAGTTTCCAAGAAAGCTTGTGAAAAAGTCTTATTTGTCTGTCTGCCATACAAAATTCGAATTTTCACACCCTGATTTCGAAAATTCAGTATAACGTATCAGCCTCAATCCTAACGAGTTTGAATTTCTAGTTCCAAAAAAATAATTTTTCTTCCAATAGTCTCCCTCTACAGAAAAAAAGCTCTAAATTCATTCCTTCATAAACTTTTGCTTCTTTTCCTTTTTTCCTCAGCCATCTTTACAGCTCTCGAGCATCCCATCTCTGATCGAAAATGAAATTTATTTGAGAGCAAATAAAAGAATTAATGCAAATGAAATTTTCTTTAATAACTTCAATAACTTTCAGTGTTGAATGAAAAAAATTCATGATCAATATGCATTCGAGATATAATTATTCATGGAAAATGATAACAATAAAATATAATGGAAGTAAAGAAATATGGAACAAAAAATTAATTTCCATCTTTATCGTCAGTCTAACGTCTGAGAACGGTCAATTTTATTGAAAAATTTAATTTGAATTCAAATAAAAATTTGCATAATTGTTATTTTTTTTTTAAATTTCTTGTGGCTTAGAAACTCGAAAGATATTAGAATAATTGGAAGTTCCTTATTTCATTTAAATTGGTACTTCCGTTCGAAACAAATTGAATTGTTTTCCTGATTAATTGAGTATTAGCTGGTATTATCTAAGATTTTAGCTTATGGAGAGCCTGTGAAGATAAGATTCAAGATATACTTTTCACTGCCAATTTTTCTCAAGTGTCCAAACCCTCGATGCAATTTTCTAAAAGGAAACAAGCATTATGTTTGAATAAAAAATTCTCAAAGCACTTTTCCTCTTCTTATCAGCATCAGCATTCGAGAATGTCTGAAAAGCTTTACTTCCTCTCTATTTGATTGCTATGCTCTTGCAAACTCCATTGAACATTTTTTTGCCCTGAAGTTCTTTCCGTAAATCTGATCAAATATACTTTAATATAATTCTACTTTTGTACGAAAGTTCCTGTATTTTTGTATTAGATTAATAGAGTCATGTGGACGTGCAGACAGCAAACATTCATTGGATATGTTGCATGTGACAATCGACAATGGGGATGCTGACAAATGGCAAAATGTGAATCGATAACATCGTTGCAGTTGTATTGAATCAATGTAAAGCTATTTGCTAGCAACTAAAGTGCTTGTAATGTTGAATTCTTATGGGACTTGTTAGTTGCTAGATTAAACATCACGTGTTATCAGTCCACTAATGGTGCCTTTCAGTAGTTCCATTAATTTTACAAAACAAATCATTATAAATTGGAACCTGACACACCAGTTCTATTATTAATATTTGGTGCGATTTTATCAGAGCTCGAAGTCGATGAAA